CCCTGTTTATCCCCTGGCCAAAGGTGATGGCCTGACAGAGGCACGTGAGCGTGCTGCTGGGCGAAGGCACAGCGTCCTGTGCTGCTCCGCCTCGCTCCTTGTCAGTGAAGTGAACACAAGGTGATAGAAATTCAGTGGAAAGGGGAGAAAGTGAAAAGCAGACCTGGTTTTCGGCTACTGTTGCCTTCCAAATCTCCACATCCAGCCCTAGCGCCTCCGCCACGCGGGTATTAGTGCAGAGCCAAGCGTCTGCGTTGGCAAACTGCCGGGCCCGGGGGCCTGGGGATGGCCAAGGTGTTGCCCCAAAACCCTTGCGATTCCAGCAGAGCCTTTTTGTCTCTTACCTTTCTGGTGCGGTGCCTCCGAGAAGCCGTAGCCTGGGATGGATGGGCAGATGACCTCAAACACCACGTCATCCCCAGCTGGCTTCGTGAGCAGAGGGATGATCTTGTAGAACTCGTAGAAGGAGCCAGGCCAGCCGTGGACCATCAGCAGAGGTTGAACAGCGCGGCCGTGAGGGACATAGGAGGGCTTCACGTGGATAAAATGGATATCGATCCCTGCCACACACCCAAGACAGATAAATTAAAGCTCTGGTTCCATCCCAGTTTCCGCTCTGGACTGTGGAGAAAGAGGGTGGCAAAACTGTAGTTAGCATTGGTAGCAGAAGTTTCACAAACAACCCACGGCAAGAAGATGCCTAGCTGAGAGGAGATGCCTTGTATCGTACCTATGTCTCACCTTTCACAGGCAGACAGAGGTATTGGTCCCAGCCCCAGATACTGGGGTCACGGGAGGATGAGCGTCCTTCTCCTGAGAAGCTGCTCTAACAGCGTGTAAGTAGAGCTGCACTTAAATGAACAGCGTCATGCGGGCAAGGCACATGCAAAACCACGACAAAATTACTAAATACGTGGGTGACAAAAAGACAAACACGGAAAGGTGAGTGCAAGATGGGAGTCTGACCTGCTGGTCGCTTACCCGAGGCTGGGCTAACCTCACCTGGCTAAACGGGGTGGTGGCGGGGCAAATTCTAGCCTCAGAGTCTGGGTAAAATTTGCGATTTTCAAAGGTGGCTTCAAGGCAACAGCGGAAGAGAACCTCATCGTTAGTTAGCACAGGTTGAGAGCGAAATGAAGCCCACCTTTAAGCAGTCCTAATCTTCTTGCCGCGGTGTAATGGTCTTAATCTAGAGAAGGCTGTTAATAATGTAGCCTCCACTAGTGATATTTCACCCCTATCACTGAGCGCTGTTGTCCTACATATTGTAACCTCTTCAATCCCCCCTCCTCCCCGTGCATTTTGGTGAGACCTGCTCAAGCCACGGAGACCCCCCTCACCTTCGATGGTGGTTTGGAAATGGGGGTATTTGTTCAGGACTTCCACTTGCTTGCGCCAGTCGAACTGGTTCCTCCAGTAGCTCACCACCTTCTGCAGGTAGCTGGAGTTGAAGCCGTAGTGGAAGGCGGCCCCTTCC